TTACCTAGTAGGATCCTAAATTAAACTATGGAAAAAATCAAGATTGTGAGAAATTCAATCTATTTGAGGATTATTTCTTTTTAGCTATGATAATCCTAAAATAATTGGATTAAAAAGAGATTTAATTATATTAAATATTACTAAACTATTGTGACCACTAGTTGCTACTTCTACAAGAATAATTTTATGTATAACATCTCTAGAAGATAATGAATGTCTATCTATTACTTCTACATGCAAACATTTGATTTTTTTAACTAAAGATATATCTTGATTTTTTGCAAAGTCTTTATTTATAAAATAGATTGAGGCTCCTGAATCCAATGTTGCTAAGACTTTGTGATTATTTGGTCCTAAACAGACTTCTATTATAAAACAAGATAAGGGATCTAAAGAGAGAATAGGACCTTTATTAGATATTGCATATGATTCCAACCGCACAGTTCCTATTGTAGCTCAAGCAACTTATTTTTTAATACATTATCTTCTTTGGTAACCATGCTTTTTATTTTGTGGTTGCATTGTTTCTTTGGACAATGTTGAGTAATGTGTTTAGCTTCTCCATAATATAAGCATAAGCTCTCTTAACGTTGTCAAATCTTTTTCTACTCTATGAGGGATTTAAAATATACTATATCAATTTTTATTGGTTTTGGCCTCGATGAATAAGTTTTTGAAAACTTAGGAGTTGCTGTCATTATTTGGTTTGTTCATCTCCAGCCAAATCTTTATTCTTGATGTCTTTCAAATAATTGTTTGTTGTATACAATGGCTTGAGCAATAAATTATTTCAAAGATTTTATCTTTGGTATTGTCAATAGCAAATCTTTGACATTATCTTTCAATCCATATCAAAATTGATTGATAAGGGCTTTGTCATTCAAGTTCATATCACAAGGAAGGTTTTGGAATTCAGTAGTATATATAGTGTCTAACTATGATCTTTGTTGTAAAGATAAGAACTTAGTCTCTACTACTCTTTCTGAATAACTTTCTTTGAATGTAGCCATAAACACTTCTAAGAATAAATTCAAATTATAAATGAGTTGCAAATCTATTTCTATTAAAGGTACAAACTAAGAAAGAACACTTCTTGATAGAAATGCGCCTATATATCCAACTTAAGCAAATCCATCCAGTTATTGGAAAAGATGCAATCTTAGATAAAGCTTGACTTGTTGAAAAAATCCTCAAAATTTTGATCTTGTTTCATGAAACTTCTCAAGTGTACTAATCCTTGTCCTTGTCATGTTTGTAGAAGCAAGAGTGTTTGGATTTAGTTGCGAGGTTGATCTACTTACTTCTTTTAATAATACAACTTCTTGCCACAAACTATGAACTTCTTCTATAGGCATAGGCATAGTACTTCTATGATTCATGTTGGAAATATGTGAAATTTCTACTTTTAGAGTATTAACAAGCTCATAAAGATTTGCAATAGTTGAAAATCTATTCTCACTTTTACTAAGTGTAGCATCCATAATCTTTCCTTTTATAAATAAAAAAATTTTAAAAAGTTAAATTAGAGGAAGATAATCAACAACCTCTAATATCAAATGAAAATTTCCACAAAGAAGGGTAATCCACTCTCTTTAAAGAAAAGATCAATGTTAAAAAATAATATTTTTTACTTAAAGGTGGATAGTTTATAACCTTCAAAATACAACAGTAAAAGTGGAGTAATCCACTCACTTCTTAAATAAATCAAAAACAATAAATTAGTACTCTTATCAAATTGTCAAAGACATGAAACTTTAAGAAAGAAAATCTTCAATAAGTTCTTGTGTCACTAAAGAGAACTAGAAAGTCACTCAAAGATGATATAATATTAAACTAGAATGGCTATTGCCAAAAAAAAAAAAGATTAAAAAGTCTTGAAATAAGACTAAGAACTACAAAGACATTGACAAGAATGAAGAAGGCTTCACTATTGCTTCCATATGTACTTTCTAACTAGAAGCTATATAGCGATATTCTATAGAACTTCTAACATGTGTTGACTTTACTAGCCACATGTCTTAACTTGCAAGGCAAATTACTTATGTATGCATGACATAGTTAGCTTGTTCCAGAAGCTACTATATGGAGTTAACTTATTTTATAAGCTACTACATGAAGTTAATTTGTTCTATAAGCTACTCCATAGAGTTAATTTGTTCTATAAGCTACTACATGAATTTAACTTGTTCTACAAGCTACCAACACGTGGTTAACTTCTTGGCTAAGTTTCTAACCTCCAAACACATCTAAAATCAAAATTGTGTCTATAAAGCTTCTAAGAAGCTTTTTTTTAGAAGAATTTATGAAATTATTTATTATTTATTTACTTCTATTCAATCATATAAGTAACTATTCGAATAAATATAAATATCCATGACAATTATTCAATTCAAAATGGTGCTATATTAATAAATATTGTATTTTGTGAAGTTTGCTTGAGAATACATTAGGCACCTGACTATAGAAGATAAATGGAGCTTGCAACAAGAAGATACTAATAATTCTAATAAAATCCTAAATAAACTTTGATTAAATTATAAAAATTCTAATCAATCTTTAATTTAACTTCAAAAGAAGTTTTAAAGAATTTACAAAAAAAAAAAAAAAAAAAACTTAATCTTAAATATATATATATATATATATATATATATATATATATATATATATATAATAAAAAAATTCTAAAATATATGAAAAAAATCTTTAAAAGATATTTAAAATAAAAAATCTTGAATAAATTCTAATAAAATTTTAATAAAATTTTAAGTCTTAATTGAATTTTAATAAAATTTCAATCAAATCTTGAATTATAATTAAAATTAATCAAATACTAAACAATTCTTTATCTTTAAATCTTAAAAAAATCCTAAACAAATTTTGAAATAATCCGAGGAAAATCTTAAATAAATCTTAATCATTTACTATACTTGTTTTAAAATCTCAATAAATATTAATTAAACTATTGAACTATATTAATATTTTATCTAAATTTTAATCTATAAATAATTTACAATTACACAAAATTTGAAAAAGTTAAATTCACCAATTGAAAGAAAAGCTCTCAAAACCTCTTGTATGTTGGCCACCTTATTTATTTAACTTGAGTATTAATTTTCCAACAAAGATTTTGCCTTGTTAAACCACTCAATTGCTCCAAAAATTTGCTAGTATATAGATATTTAAGTCTAAATTGCACTCATCTACTTTTGCTTCAATCAAGCTAACAAATATTGCAAGATTGTAAAATTTTCACTAGCCCTAAATTTTAATTATTTTAAATTATAATCCACAAAAACTCTTATAACCTTCACTCTCACCACTTGATTGACATCAAATTTCTTATATATATTATCAACAAGCACAATGACAAATTAACAAATTTCACCCATAAATATGCCATGACACTTATAAAAACATCAAATTAGTAAATTTCTTTTTATTTTTTAATATCCAAACCCACTAAATACACTTCATACTTTGAAAAGCTCCAAAAACCTCAATATACCTTTAAATTACATAAAATAAATTCTTAAAAATCCTTTCATAAATTTGCTCTCAAATACAATTCTTCAATCAATGGAAAAATCTTAGAGTCATTGTAGGTGTATAGTTTTGTACCTTGAGGTGTGATTTCAACCTTTGTTCATAATTGATCTTCTCTGGATATTAATTCTTTATATTTTGAGATAGTTTTTACTAAAATCTATTCTTAATTTTTTTCTAAACATGTTTATATCAATTAATTTTTTCATTTACTTTGATTTGGCTCATTTATGCTTCTACAAAGTAAATAGAAGTCTCTTTTATAAAAAAATAGAATCAGAACTTAAGTTTTTGCTATCTTCTTATTATTTATTCTTATTTTTTAACTATATCTTTTTATTAAGTTCTTCTATAATAAAATAATTTTTTCTTCTTTCACCTAATCACTGTGCTACTATAGTATAATGTAAAGATTCTAATAAAATATATTTTGAAGTAATATGAGCCAATAACAAGTTGTATAAGGTTGAGAGAAACTCAATTCATCTATATACCATGAAACTTATATAGTATGTAGTATAAATATAGTATATTTGGCAACCACCATCACTGCTATAAGACAAATCAAAGCTACTTCAAAAAATAAGCTTCTTCAAATTACTTATAATAAAGTAAAACTATGGCATTGTTAAATTGGCTATATTAATTACCAAAATCTTTTCAAGTGACAAAAAACAAGCTTATTTTTGGCACTCCAAAACTACCCCTTATTAAATTCACAACGAAAGCTACCTCAAAAAAAAAAAAAAAAAAAAAAAAAACATTGCTTAAAAGACAATAATCACTCTTAGCACACAAGAACATTTTTAGACAAAAAGACTTAACAATATGCAAGGAACCTACTTGAGTCCAACTTGACAATGCATCTCAATGCTCTTTGTTCAAACATGCAACCTACTGCATTATCAACAAGGCGAAAGGCATGGCAAAATAACTCATACTATAATCTTAGTATTGTCCACACGTGCTACAAGAACAAATCGCCCTTCACCACAAACCACATCAGCCATCATCAGAACGGTCAGCAATTACAAAATCATCAACATAAACACAAATTAAAAAGCGAAAATACATACTACAGTCACATGCTTTGTGTCTGGAAGCAATCCTTCCTCTCTCAACGCACTTGACATTGCCATATAGCTACAAAAAGGAAAATGATAAAAAGCCGAAACCTTGTTTGAAAAAAGGTGTTAACAATAGGCCATCCGAGCTTACAAATGTTTATTGTCCCTTCTGCTTGAATGAACAGAAGGGATGACGTCTTAGACCCTTAGATGTCGTAGTCAATTTCTCATTCGAACTCATTGTATATCAAGGCATATTGTGCACCTCCAATTCCACTCGTTGTGCTTATTGGAACAGGGCACACACAAGATATGCATTGCAGCTTTCTATAGCTGCGCCCCAATCCAATGTAGAATCGACATGTGCAAGTTTACATCAACACAACATGGTGACTTAAAATCCGAACGCATCTCCACGTTCCACATCTTTGGAGCAACTTGCCCCGCAACACATACTCGATGTTACAGCAGTGAGTGTAGACTTGCTGACGGTTTCAGCTTTGCAGCCCACAGAAGGTCTGGTGAAACAATTAGTAATCTAATCCCACGTCTAAGTTGCTCGTATTATTCAAGTCCGCACTCTTTCGTGCGGGCCTTCTTTTTATGTTTATCAACGCGATCCATCGCAGTCACACAGTGAATTCGCTATGAACCCGCTACTGTAGCGGCTCGCTGACCTACTCTTACCCCACCCCAACGACATCGGATCCAGAGCATCGTTTACGACGCACTTTTGTCAAAGCAGGTCCATCACGAACTACACATGCTACACACTCACTCCCACAATATCGACACATTGTTGCCCTTTCACCACAGTTGACTAGTCGGTGGATCCACCCATGGCCTGATCGATGACTGGTCGATCCATCTAGTACGGATACTCTCCAACGTAGTTTCCTGGAGGAGAGTAGCTGCAAATCATGAACACTGGATAGTTGACATATGATGCGCACAGGACCTTAGCACACCCGACGCTGGTGGTGGTACTCCACACCACCTGCGTGTAATGCGCACAGCATGACCGCGTGCTGCCATCGAACGGGCCGTATGTGTAGGCTGCACTCTCGGAGACCCATAGTTGGACGGCTTCGGTGGGAGTGTCAGCGGTGCTTCCGCCCCAGTAGATGTTCTCGCCATAGTCCCCACCCGAATGACCCCAATCATCGCAAGATCCCGTCAGAGTCTGGGTATACGCGAGCGCATAGTCAGCCAAAGTGGTGTTCCACGCAAGCGGGGGGGTGCCAACCGCGCTGCGAGCGGCGTTGTGGGCATCGACCCACTCCGCCTCGTCCTGTGCGATGGCGGCGGAGAAGATTGTTGCGACGAGGAGTGCGAGGAGGATGATGTGCCGCGACATGGTTGCCGTTCTGAATGCCAACTCGCGAGTGGAGGTTGATGAGAGAGGATTGCGGATGCTGCAGCTTGAATGTAGATTGCAAGGCCAAGGCGACCTCTTATGGTGGATCTCAGAGATCGCTCCCATTCGCCAGCTCCAGTGCAACTACTGGTGCGCATGAGTGCACGACTCGGGGGTTGGGGGACGAATCAGTTGCCGACAGAGAGCTCCTCGTGCTTGAGCGTCAGGTCAACCCATGACCGGCTGTTGAGCTCAACGTTCATTGTGTATGCGCATCAAGGGAGGATGCCCAGATACTGAACGGTGGGCCATCTGGGATTGGTTTGCATGTGGCAGTAAGGAGCCCACTCCGATAGAAATGAACCTATTGCCCGAAGAAACTGCGTCCTCGACAAGATCCACTTTGCCAACAAGTGGCACTGCCAGTTGGGCCACTCAGTGCAGGACGCTCACCGAAGCGTGGACGGGGTGCGCAAGAGAGTTAGGGTTGGAAACAGTAGCGTGCGGAAGGCGAAGGCCGTTTCCATGCCTGTGAGGGATGGTGGTACGAGGAAGCCTATAATCCTGCCACAAGTGATGGCGATTCAGAATGGACACTGTGCACTGGACACTGTGCACTGGAAAGAATGGTGGGCCTTGGAGAGTGACGACTGGTTTGTTGTGGAGGGGTCTTTTGTTTCAATAAGCAGAACTTATCACTCAAAACACATATATCAGGGTGTAATACACAACTTTATTTTCAAAATTCACATTTATATCTCAAGAGAAGTTATACTTTTAACCAGTAAATCAATAGTTACTAAACTCCCACTAAAAGGATAACTTCTCTATTGAGATTACATGAAGTAATTCTCCTACTTCAATAGAGAAGTTGAATATCATCTTAGATGTATGGTGAGTAGAACATTCATTTTTTTGAACTTTCTGGAATTAATGGTTTTGTAAATATATTGGCAATGTTTTCGTGAGTAGAGATATAGTCAATTTGTAGAAGTCCATTCTAAATTTGTTCTCTGAATATATGATATTTTATATCCATGTTCTTAGTTCGTGAATGGAATTTAGGGTTAAGTGCAAGCTTGGTAGCACTTTGAGAGTCAAATTATAAGATTGTAATAATCTTTGAGAGCCAAATTATAAGATTATAATCTAACTCTTAAAGTGCTATGAAGCTTGCTATGTCTTGCAAAAATCCTAAATCAATAAAGAGCCTTCAACACCATATGATTTCTTTTGTGACCATATAACAAGCAAACATACTCAGAATATGTCATACTATCAACAAGACATGTTTTTTTTTTCGACTCCCAATTGATTGAACCTCCATTCAAGGAAAGAACGTATCCATTGCAAGACTTTCTATCATCAATATTTGTTGCATAATTAGCATCTACTTATGTGGTAAACAAGGTTGGAGAGATAGTCCCACTGTAAACCAACTTGAAATCTAGAATAGTGTATAGATTTCCAAAAATTCTTCAAATAGCATGTATAAACTTGGACTTGAAATAGGCAATGTAAAAGATATCGTGGCAAGTTTTGATAGAAGCAAATTTGAGGTTGCCAATTGCATTAAAAAATAAAAAAATATTGTCATTATCTATATCTAAAGAATATTTGGAAATTGATGATCTTTGAACTTAGAAGCTTGTATCATAAAAGTTTCTTGATTAAGTTGGCCATATAGAAACGTGGTTTTAATATCAAATTACTTAATGTACATGTCTTCTTGAACAACTATAGTAAAAATAAGATGGATTAAGTCAAATGTTATAGTCAAAAAGAAAGTTTGTATATAATCAATTCCATATTCTTATGAATAATCTTTAGTGACTAACTGGGCCTTGAAACTATTGACAATGCCATCGATCTTGGTTTTAAGAGTAAAGATCTACTTGTAATTGATTGCTTTTTGTCCTAATGATAAATTAGTGAGATTCCATGTTTTTTTTACAAGTAAGGATTTGAATTCATCTTATATGGCTTTTGGCCAGTATATCAAATATGGTAAATAAAGAGCTTCTTGAAAAAATTATAGAATTTTTGAAATAGTGACAAAATCTTTAAAATTGATTTGTTTACATGGCAAAGTCTTGATAAAATTAGCAGAGGTGTAGTGCCAATATTTAATTGAATAATCAAAGCATAAATAATGTTGTTGTTGTTGTCCAGAAAAAAGATGAAGAGAAGAAAAATTTGATCAAGGTTCTTCAACCAAGTGACTATATGATGATAATATTGGTGATTTTGGTGGTCCTTCTTAATAAGTTGGATTTGAAATAAGATCAATAATAAGTAGAATAGCATCATAAGCAAGAAATGATATACTTCTAGTGCTTGTATCTTCAAAATTTGTTAGTTGATCTTTAATGATAATAGATGGAAAATGATTTATTTCAATAGAATTTGATAAGTCAATTGTATAGAAATTAAAATCTGAGCTGGTAATATTAGAATTCACAAGACGATCAGGGTGATTTATATGTCAATGGTCAAATGAACAATCAAAAAATACAAATGGTATCTCAATAGTAGCAGCATTAAAAGATTTATTTTTTAAAAATGATACATCTTTTGTATAATTATATTCATTGAAGATTATGTTTCTATTTATATTGACTTATTGACTCTATAAGTTCCAAATCCGATATCTTTTAGAAGTATCTAAATAGCCAAGGAAGAGTCCAATGCAGCTTTTAGGATCTAATGTCTTGTACACATTGTTGTATTGCCTGGTTTTCTATCTGGGAATACACTGGGTACCTAATTATAGAGAGTTTATTTTTAACTTATTGGCCAATCTTTAATAAGTTGTTTAACCTTAAAAATAGAAGAAAAATAAATACTACATGTTCTTTATAAAAACTCCAAATGATTCAAAGTTTGTACCAAAATCATAGCCAAAAATCTAAACCTACAAACTTTAGACTTCGATGTTCAAATCCCTCCAAAATACTAACCCTAATATCTAATATGGCCTCGGGTAGCCTCCTTGAAGCCCATTGGTCATTATTTTTGACCAATAGGAATGGAGATTTTCATCATCCATCTCCATTCATCCATATTGATGTCTTAACTTCTCTTTTTTGCTACCAATATCTTTCTCCAATCCTTTTTTTTTTAATAAGATTTACATAATATATGTCCTAAACACCAAACAAAAGAAATAAAATAAGACTTCAATGATGACCAATGTCTAATAAAGATGACTCTAAATATTTAAAATTACTACCAACAAAATCAATCTCAAAAGCCACTATCAAAAGAAAATAAAGTTATACAAATTCTAATAGTAATCCTTTTAACCATATTCTACAACCAACTAAAATCCAGTAACATGGCTCTCACCATGTTGCTAAGTAAATTGTATATTAAATACATAATCACATTATTTTCATATGGTAGCCAAATCACAACACGACAAGGTGATAAAGAATATATTTTACAATCAAATGGCCTTATATGAGTTAGTAATGGCTTTGTTCTTGTATAAGCCTCAAATGATGTTATGTTTGGATTTAATTATAAATAAGTATGATTCAGTGTATATATGATGTTATCCATTGTTTCTATCCAAAATAAAAGGTCAATTTTTTTATAATAGATCATATTCCAAATTGCATCTATAATTGTTCTGTTCTAGGTTATAAAAAATGGTGAGTTCATGCTTGATCCCTTATGTATGAAAAAAATGAATAAAAATTATATTACAGAATTTACTAGTGTTGTCAATTCTTAGAGTGAATACTTAATAATCAATGTCTCAAAAATAGCCTTGTATACTTGTTGAAAATATTTTAGAGCATTAGATTTTTTTAGAAATATAAAAGATAAATCTATAACATGTGTGATTATCTTAGAAAAGTGTATAATAGCATGATCCATCATAAGAAAGGACACTCATTGATCCACAGATATTGTACTAAATTATCATTCTAGTATATAAATATTTTATGTTTTTGAGCAACATTGGTAAAATTGAATAGATTTCTTTCAAATCCAAGAATGTATAAAATTTTTATGAGTAAATAAACTTCACTTCTATTAAATAGTTCTATAAGTATTCAAATATCTTTCATACTTGTTTTGTAACAACAATATCTTATTGGAGTTTCAACGGGCAATATTACATCTAATAGCAAAGGATTGTAATAGAAAAATTAGTGAATTTGATGTATCATGTAGTTAGTAATATTGCTATGAAGAATCCAACCTTTTGAATGACATTTATATGTAAAGACATTTTAATTCAGGTGATTATAGAAGTTAGAAAATTTGATGAAAATTGATCATGTTTGTGAGAATTAATAAAATCATAATGCTCATCATGATTATTAGTATCATATAGTATAATATATTGCTTCATGCTGGGATATGAGTGTTCTTGATAAAAGTCTAAATATAAAGAATTTTATGACTCAATAAATATAGCTTCATGAAAAATAAGGTTGATTAAAATTTTCTTGAAATATATGTGGATATTCTTGCCACTAATGTATATTAGATTTTCTTTCAATCAATAAAGTAAAATGAATGTAAGCAATGTAATCTTTTTCTTTCTACTCTTTATTGTGTGATTTTTTTTATCCAAACCATCAATATATTATATGATAACTTTAGTGCAAAAGAGATTTTGAAGTTGTCATTTTGAAAGGTAAAATTCAAAACTATTGAAATGTTGAATGGCATTTAAGTCTTTTTTTATTAACATTTTGATTAGAATAAGAAAGAATAGAGAAAAAAATGACAAAAAATTCTATTGAAAGAGAACCTTAAAAAAATTAAGAAATTAAGAAATTTAAGAAAATGCATTGGAATTAAAAAAAATAAAATTTCAAACTAGTATTATTTAGTAATATAATTATGCAATTAAGAAGATGATCAACTATTACTTTATTATGCAATAATGCAATTAGCAAGACATTTATTTATGCACAAATTAAAAGACTAGGGACAATAATCTTTTGTTTCAATATGCAAAATACATTACTCAAAATGCATACATCAGGATGTAATACACAACTTTATTTTAAAAAATCATATTTATATCTTAAAAAAAAGTTATATTTTTAATTAGTAAA